ACTGAAGAGAATAAATTTAAGTTTTTAGTGCAAAGGTGCAAAATTATCTTTTTCCCAAGTTTTTTGATGACTAATAAAAATGGTTAATATTGCAAAGTTATTGACATGGCAGCACCTGATTCCCAGAAACATATTCATATCAAATAAAAATCAGATGCACCAAGAAAACTAGAGAACACATCATTACTTGCTGTAAAGTTACCATGTGTATGGGCAGAGGACAGTTAGTTTTCCTACTGCTTGTGGAGCTTTGTTACATCTTCCCCAGTATTTAAATCCAGACATACAAGGAGAAAAAAGGTTGCCAACCGATACCTCTAAACAGAAAGGGATAAAGACAAGACGTGAATGGCAACCTGACTTTGCTTCCCAGCAGCAGCCTAAAGACCTAAACACGTTCATCACATCTGCAAAAACCAACTAGTTCTTTCAAATGAAGTCAGAGATCCCATCCTTTCCCACATCTAGAGCCATGCTGCCACATGCTGCCCATAGCAGGACATGGTATCAGGTAACAGTTATAAAAAAAACCTATGGTCATTAAAACAAAATATCAATACCTGAACCAAGCAGAACCACATAAAATATATGCATATTTCAAGCAGGATGTGTGAGTATTTTTATTCCAAGAAACTGGTTGTAAACCATCCTCTTTAAAGAGGGAATGGACTCACAGTGTTTTAGATCAGAAATTTCTTCTTCTAAACAAATATACACTCACATGAACGCACTTTTACAGCCATGTATAATAAAATAAATGTATTTATCTCCATAAAAGTAGTATATAATCCAGCATTATCCATAGAAATGAGAAATTGTATGTTTACCTTTCTCTCCAGAACTTGTGGGAAAACTTTCAAAAATCCTCCCAGCATTAACTAAATTAAAGGACGTTTATATTACAATATGCACCACTCTCTTGTCTCCTTACAAAATTAAAAATGCTCTCTGATGATTTCATAGAATCACTTAGGTTGGAAAAGACCTTCAAGATCATTGAGTCCAACCATTAACTCTACCAAGTCCAGCACTAAGCCATATTACCAAGAACCACATCAAGATTAATTTTAAACACACCCAGGGATGGAGACTCAACCACCACCCCGGCCAGCATGTTCAAATGTCTGACAACCCTTTCAGTGAAAAAGTTCTTCCTAATGTCTAGAGTAACCCTCCCCTGGCGCAGTTTGAGGCCTCTTGGTTCTACTCCCAGTTACTTGTGAGAACAGACCAGTGCCTACCTCTTTACAATGTCCTTTCAAGTAGTTGCAGAGGGCAAAGAGGTTTCCTCTCAGCTTCCTTTTCTTCAGACTAAATATCCCCAACTTTTGCATGTTTATTATTTTTCTCAGTTAATTCTGTGGTTTCAAACCACTAACAGTATGTTGGATTAGTCATCAAAATACATGTATCTAGAATTTATAGGTAATACACTATTGAATGGGAAATACAGCTTTGTGTGGCACATGGCAATCAAATTGTTGTACAGAAGAATGCTGTACAGAATGGTAAATAAGACAACACAGAAAGTAAAAAATAAAATCCATTATTGAAAAACATAAGCTACGTCAATGACTAGACTTCACTCATAATGATCATTGACTGTACTGTTTTCAAAGATTATTTCAGCAAGGATTTTGCTATGGATCTCCTATTTTCATGCTTTACAAGTAAGCTTTTGCTGAGCTAATCCATTGCTCACAGAGGCTGTGGAAAATTAGAGATGGCAGTATTCCAGGAGAACACTTACTCTGTGCCCACTGCACCAACACAAGATGAAATAAACCTATTATCATATGTCCCAGATATTCATCTAACCTGTTCTTAAAAATCTCCCAGAAAGGAGGTTCCATTACACCTACATGAAACAGTGTCCATACTTTCTTTCCACTAACATATTAATTAGACTGATGGTGGAAAAGTTTCTTATTTTAATAACCTAGGTATTCTTGGTATAAATTAAATTTACCACTCCAGTGGGCACTGGAATACAATTGATCATTGTCTTCTTTATAACAACATTTTATGTATTAGAAGACTTATGTCTCCCCTTTAGTACTTCCTAGACTAAACAAACCCAATTCTTTAAGCCTTCCTCACAGGTCATACTCTCTAGAACTCCTATCATTCTTGTTGCTCTCCTTTTGTCCCTTTCTAATTTGCCTATTTTTCTTAAAGTGTGGTGATCAAAACTGTACAGAGCTTTTCAGATGAAGTCTCACCAGTGCTCGAAAAAACAGAATAATTGCTTCCTGTTTCCTTTTTAGTATTACATCCATCCCAGAGTTAGGTCCAATTTCATTGCAAGAGTATTCCATCATTGCCACATATTATGTGCAACCCAGATTCCTTTTTCTGTACTATCGCCTCATCAATACATGTGACTTCTCCCTTGTAAATGGACTTGTCTTTACAGTATTTCAGATTATGTATTCTAGACTGTCTTTCCAGTTTATTGAGACTGAAGCAGTTTACTGAGCAGTTGCTTGCAGCATGGTTCCTTATAAACAATATTAATGTTTTTTTCTATTTCATCACAGAAATATTTTCAAAAAAAATACTCCACAGGGGTAGATGAAGGACAGACCTCTTTGGAACCCTGCTGTGAACACCCCCCATGTCTGAACATGAGTAATGATAAATTTGTCTGCAGCACATTATTTGAATCAGTTGCACACCCACCTCAGGGTGGTTTCATAATTAAATTGTAATAGTGTTGTTTATACTTTTACTATTGTAATGCATTTTACATTACATGAACTATATTACAAATTAAGGTATTTATTTGGATATTACAAAATTAGTAGGACACTGTTAAAGGCCTTATGAATTCAAAATATGTTACGGATACCACTTCATTAGCCACAAGGCCAGTTATCCTTAATTAGATTTCCTTTACATAATTTGTCCTTGACAAATACAGGTAGACCAAATATAGGAAAAGTATGCTAAGTAACAGACATCTAGACCTGCATTCTGTTTTAAAGGTGGCCCAGAACTGTCAGCTAGGAAAGCGAGCAAGAATAAAGTGAGCACACAGTGATAAACAATCTCATATATTCAAGAACGTAACATAAAAATAGTTTATCTGGTCTAGAGTAAGAGCCACCAGGTAATGATTATGACAAGAGGATAACGGCAAAGCAAGTATAAAGGGATGTGATATACCCTGAGATGGATAGACTTTGTCATACAGTCTGATACAGGCATCAAGGTCCTGAAAATGAACAGTAAAAAGGCTAATGGCCTTCTATTAATTCGCTGAGTAATAACTTAGCTCATAACTTTCCAGGGTCTAAATAAAATTATTCAGAAATCCCCATACTTTTTGTTTGTAAAGATGAGAACAATATTTGCCTTCTTCAAGTGTCCAAGGATCACCTATATCCTACATGAAAGCTGTTGAATACAATCATTAATATTTCAGCGTAAGACTGAGATACTAGTAAATACTGGTAAAATAGTTAGCATTTTTGTGCTCTATTTTAAGAATGTATCCATTTCCATAATTTGTATAATTTATTAAGTTTTTTAAACTCTTGAAGATGTTTTGATACAGACTTTCATTATGCTCCTTATCCATTCTTAAGTAACCTTTTCTTGTGCACTGAAAAGCATTGTCTTCACTCAATGCTTAGCCCTCCTACATTGTCTTAGGCCTCCAGTTTTCTTTACAGTCTTACATTGCTTGAATTAGTTGAAACCATAGCCTGGGTTTCAGTAACACAGAGGTGGTTGTTACCTTTTTTTTTCCACATCTCTTGCCCTCATTCTGTTTCTCTCTTTCTATTCCTTGCAGAAAGACAAAACCTTTTTTATTTCATGGTAATTTTCAGAAAATCTTGCCTTCTTTTATAAACTCGGCCAACTTCTCTCTGATAATCAGAAACAGAACTATAACGAAGGCAGCAAGTCCTTAATAACCACCCCAAATTTCTGAAAGAAAAAGTTGTTTTTAAAGTGTTCCAAGAACTTGAAGGATTCTGAGTTCTGTTTTTTTGGGAGGGGGAGGGGTTGTGCTGGGTTTTTTCAGTTGATATACAATAACTTGACTCTTCTCATACTTACCAGTTCCTGTCTATTGGTCATGCTAAAAAGGTATCATTTGCCTCTTTGTCTCCTATTCACAATTAAGTAAACTATCATACATCCTCTAACGTCACTAACATTTTCTCCTTTTATTTCTACCTAGAAGTTATAAACTTATAAACTAACTTTGTATCAAACAATGATTCTTCAAATAAAAGCAATGTTTTAATTTTCCCCAGGGTTCTCGATTTGAAAAAGAATTACTTGCTTCTATAGAATGTTTTTCTTCCTTCAGATAAATACACACATGAATAACTTGTCCTATTGTGACTGACTTACTCCTAAACCCCAACATCTTTCAACTCTTACCTGTTGTATTAGGCTAAAGAGTCCTATAGTGAAAAGAAGTCTATATTAATATTTGAAAGTCATCTTCAGGTCAGACTCTATCCGGATCTGACAAGATCTCTACTTATTAAGCACATTTCATTGAAATAGACCAGTAGCTCCCAGTATCAGCTCGAAACACACAGCCTGCTGGCAGCACAGCTCATGTCTGTTTCATTGGAAAAATCGAAATTTGTTTCTTGAAATTTCATCTATGATGGCTTAGCTTCTTTCATTTGTATTTCTTGTGGTTTAGCATTTCATATACACACACGTAAGCACGTACACACAAGCTATTTTTTAGCATAACAAATTTTTAACAGCCTCAGACACCTCAGAAAATAATTATGAAAAGATGTTTGCTGGCAGAAGGCTATTTAAAGGATGAGATACATTTGTCACGAAAATTTGTGTATATTTATACTAATAATTATAACAACCTTACTAACAGTTACAGCTATGCTATAGCATAATTTCCAATATTATAACTATAAATTTAAAGCAGATATTTTATTTTTTATGGATCTGGATACAGCATTTTCTGTTTGGAAAAATCAAACACATTAAAACAACAAATGTTCCAGTCAAGGTTTCTGCTTCACCCAGTTGTCCATGAACCACAAGTACTGAGCTTGCACACTGGACACTTGGCAAATGTCTGCCTATTGACAGCAACATTATCTAAAGAAACACACAGAAGTATTCCAAAAGACTTGAAATATTCCAAAAGTGTTGGAATGCTAATAAGCCACAAACCATTGCAACCTCCTCATTCCAAACATACATGACATAAGTATTCATTTTAAACCATGTGACAATAAATTTGTTTTAATAATTTTATTTTTTAATTTTCACTTAGATTTCATATCATTAATATGCTACAATATAATCAATAAAAGCAAATTAGTTACATAATTGCAAAAGTATTTTCTGTTCAAGAAAATGTCTTTGTAAACCAATGTGGAAATTTACCAAATCAAACAGTAATGGACTTATGGATGTTTGGCCATCCTAGGTGCAGGAGAAATGTTTCAATGCTGGCATGCTCAGGTAGCATAGTCTTAACATAGAAGACCATGTTACTAGGACAGTTAATTGCCCCTTCTGAAAAACAGGATTCTAAGCAGAATAATATTCTAAGCCTAATAACATTCTAAGAATAACATAGAATTACTAAGCATTTTAAAATTTGGTTTATCTTGCCTAGTTAAACATGTGCCACTGTTTATTTTAATCTATATCTATATTTAATCTATATTTATATCTGAAAACTTCAACAGAAAGATACTTTCAAAAACATTTTAGTATGATTGGTTTACAAGTTTCCCAGTGGAACTGCTGCACAGGTTTTTCAATACCAATGAATAACCCATTTACTTAAAATAAACAAAAAATTATCTCAAAAAGAGTATACTTCTGAAATCACTAGTAGCCACTAATTAGATTTTTCACTGATTTTTCTATAGAAAAAGTTGACTTACAAAATTATTAGAAGCCTCTAAAGTAGGGAAGTAAAATATAAGACACCAGACAAAAGTAAAAATGTTTAAACTGTTTCAGGGATGAAAATAGATACCAGAGCTATTTCAGTTCAAATAGCACATCACATGCTTATTATTTCTTTGGAACATTTTGAAATATAAAAATAGTAAAATTCTAAAACTGACAGTGAAAAAAAGAGGTGACTAACCTGATCTGGAGAGGGTCTGTGGTTGGAGTGTTGTGGCCTCCCAGGAGATCGATGATGGTGGTGGTGATGATGGTGGTGGTAGTGGTGATGGTCATCATCATAGTTATCTGCCATCAGTTTCATTCTGTTTTGTGTCTGTTTAAGATGCAAAGGGAAACAATTCTGTTACATTCTGACATATTATTCTAACAGTGTTTTAGGAAGACCTTAGCTCTCTTTTATTTTTTTATTATTTTTTTCTTGGCGACTGTAAGAATCTAACAACAGAAACCCAGACTGCTGGCTTACAAAGAAAAGGAAATAGAAAAAGATACAGCATGTGAACACATCTTCTGCCTCAGTTTTCACATGAGTAGAATTGCACAAGTCAGAAATTGATATGATCAAGAATGTTGTTTGAGGGGTGTCAGAAGAAGCACTCCAGCTTTTCTAAATTTACTCTTTCAGAACAGTTCCCTATTTTTTTCCACTCTATTTTGATGCTTTGCCAATTACCTGGTAAAACCTCACCGAAAGGCATATTAAGTATACTTCAAATATTCAGTCAGCTACTGAGGCATGTCAACAAAAATAATTAATAATTATGCTAAAAGCTCTATTTTTTGCTTATTATTTTAATTGTACACCAGAATTACCCTGGTAACAGTAAGTTAAAAGAATCTGAAAACTAACTGATAAAGACAAAGGCAATTAGAGAACCGATTATGGAACTTGACACATGTTCCTGAATGAAATATAGTCTTAGATATGGATCTTGAAAAAAGATACTTCAGCTACTGCTGTGTATAGACAATAAAATCTATGTCACCACAAGATAACAAGACACATCACTGCTCTTTATCACTATTACATTTACTCCATACCATGAAAATACATAGACTGAAGGAATTCAAACTTTGCTCATGATACCAAAAATATCTTGTTACCAATTGCCCAATACAGTACTTATTTTTCTGACAGTAGGACTGAAGGCTGTCTCAGGCAAACCTATTATCAAGTTTTACTCTTCTTTTTTTTTTTTGTACTAACAAAACCTAGAAGAAAATTCTGTAAACTCTCAAAGACCTCTTCCAAAATTAGAAGAATCAATAAGAGATGTATAAAATCAATATCATGCAGATGACTGAAAGAAAAAAAGGAGTCTGAACACACCTTGTTCAATAATCTCACCTGAAACCTATAAGACAAAGTTTGTTCATGAATGAGCATTACCTACTTTGTGCCAGTTCTCTATGTGGACATCATTTGAGTTAGCCAAGCAGAAGCAAGTCTCCTTTGTACATAGACACTTTCAGTGAACAATAAAGAGATTGAAATCAGCTGCAAAAAGCCACAGATTAGCTCTAGCCATGCTTCAAGATAGCAGAATTCATTGCAACTCCAGTGAGGATGCTGGATACACACATTACCCCAGAGACTTTGACCAAATGAATAAGTTCTAAAGAACCAACATAAACAGGTGAATTTAAACGCAAGTCATTTTGTCAAGCATGTTCCTATATTAACAGGTCTAACTGACTTCCAATTCAAAGTGGCCATGACACAGCTGGTGTCCCATAGCTAGTATATGGTGAATTTAATTCCAGGACTACTGTAAATTGATTTTCCTATGAGAACAATCCCATATCAAAATTTCTGTTAGGAAAATTTCACTGATAAGTATGTTTTAATAGAAAATTTCATACCTCAGTAATTGTTATTACATTCCCCAATTTAAATGTTTGGTTTTTTTTCTAAAGTAGAAAAGAGATTTGGAATAAAAGCAAACTAAATATTCATATTACATAATATTTGAAGTATAACAAAACATGTGAGGAAAGCTATGAACCACAGGGATCACAGGAAATGTGGCTTTTTTTTTATACGTCACAATGGTTCTCAAGTACTTTGTATGATGTGTTAGAAGGATCACAGAAAACTATTTTCCAGAAGGAGACTTGTACTCAGTAAAAACAACCAACCAACCCAAACCTTTAAGGCATCCACAATACAACAGAGGCACAGTCACAGATCAGATGTGCACTTGCTTCAGCATTTCAGACTCTTTCAGACTCTTTCTCAGCACCCCTTCTCAGTGTGGTACAGAATCAGTGTCCTTCATAGGTCAAATGATGGATTCCTTTTAACAGGAATTGCACTGGCACTGTATGGTATCATTTCACATTTTTAACACTGTTTTCGGCACAGCTGAAACAATTTCATTTTCTCCCTCCTGGATAAGGGGATGGAAGGATACAGCTCTATGAACTTCTGCTATAGACTTCTAACAATTTTGCCAAAAGACCAACTCAGTCTGAATCATCATGGCATGTTTCTTTATATTCAAAGAGGAAGGACTTTTGAACAAAAGAATGGAAGATATAGAGAATTAATAGACAAATAATAACCCACTTACTGTAAATGCTGTAATATTCTGCCTCTTTGGGAAGCTCCTAACATTTTATTAGTTTATTTTCTTATCAATGAACAGCCTTAAATTTCCTACCTTACAACTGTATTCCATAAAAGAATGCAAAAGTTAAACAAGATGATATATGCAATCCTAAAAGTGTCCCCTGTAATGAGGTGTTGGGGATTAAACGTGTCATGGGATAAGAACTGTAAATGAATGATGTCATCTTTCTAATTTGGTGCTGCAATATAAATAAACCACTTCTAATGTTTCTTCCTTTTGGATGCCAGATTGCAGTAAAATGTGCACAAAGAAATGTTAATGCTGTAGTAGGCTTCCTTCAATGTTGTGGAAGCAAAATACATAAGAAATGTTAAACAAGAATTTCTTTTCCACTTCAGTGATCATCAAGCCATTCAATTTTTTTGTATGATTTGAGATTGTCTTTAACTTTTTAAAATGATCCTAAATATTTTGCAAAATATTATTTCTAAAGGCTTTTTAGTTTTATTTTCTAGCTCTTCACAATGATAACTAAATTTTTGATATTATGTTTGCCTTTGCTTTAGCTATTGTCTCTGTTACACTTCCTAACTGAACTGTATTTTTCAGGTATGCTTAGTTTTATATAAGGTTTTATAAAACATGGCACAATTTCAAACTTTTAAAAGCAGGACTTTGGAGAAAGAAAACCAAGAGGATTTCCAGAGGAGGAACAAAAGTAAAGACACCCAGAGGAATAATACCATCCTTTTCAGGTCTTTTTAAACCAAAATCTGTGAAATTACTTCTGTTTGCTTCCCTTGCTAACTCTTCATCTTTAGTAGGCTTTGAAATGCCAGGTATATTTTTATTTGAGGAAGAAATTCTTTAATCACATTGCAATTAATTCAGGACCTCAGGGTTTCACACCCCTACACTTACCTACAAACACACACAGAAGCACACAGAAAGGTGTATGCATTATAGGATGTCGGTGTATCAAACAGACAGTAAATCCTCATGGTCTGGGTCCCATATCAACACACTGGGACACTGCTTCAGTACTGAGTGCAAGGGAAAAACACCTCCTACTGACTTGCCAATGCCAGCATTTCCTGCAACACCCTGAGCATACCTGACAATTTCCTGTTCAAGAACATCCAAGACCTTGTCTTACACTACTTTTGAAGGCACAAAAGATTATTCAATTGCTTTTCTGGGTGACTGGGGAACTTGGTCTTGGAATGTACAACTCATGAAAATTAGAGTGATGACTGTTTGTGCATTTCAACTGTGCCGTATCTAATATCTGTCATACGTTACTATGCACAAATTACTCCAAATCTGAAAGACTTATGTTGTGCAGTTCACAATGTTATTCACATTTTCCTCTCAAAACTGTGTTTATTGTGTTTTCTTTAAAACAGGGTTTCTCAAAATTTACATAGCCACAGTTCTGAAAACAAAATTATCATAACAACAGTTCTTTTTGGAATAGTGTGGTGAACACCAGGCCCACATCTGAGGTAGAGCAGTTTTAAATTTGGATTTATACTAGGAAAGAAAAGATGTTAATTTGTAAAATGTAACGATTAGTTAACTGCATTTCCTGCAGACCAGGTATAGCCTGAGTAGTTGTAGGTTCAACAGTTTCCATAGACTTTTTTGCTTTAAATTATTGACTACATTCAATAAATACTGCATCCATTTTGAAATAAGAGAATGATAGAAGAATCAAAAGCAGCTTAAATCTTTGTGCACAGGTATATTAACCCTTAGGGCTTGAAACAGTTGTCTTTGATCCTCAGGTATCACTATTTGCTAAGCTGTCAAGGTCATGAATGGTATGTGTAACTGAATTTTTAACCCACTTAACAAAGAATTTATGATCTAGCACTGTAAGAAAACTGACAGATATTTCTTGTCCTCCTCAAATTCTGTTGAGTTTAACTAAGGATCTACTGAAGTGAAGCGAAAGTCTTTGATTGACTGGTAACAGACTAAATAGCTTAACAGCAATCTGTAACTGTAAAACTGTAATATTAAAACTGTCTTTTAAAAAATATTTTAGCAAGGTGGCAGTCAGGAACTATGCTTTGATCTGTCATCTGGATCAAGTTAACAACAAAACTCTCATGAATGAGGTTCAAATGAGGAAAAAAAAGTATTATTTGTTGCTCTGGGACATAGGTGTAAGAGTACTCAGTACTACTACTTTCCTTTGGATTTTCTTAGTTTCTGTTCACTAAATAAAATGTGAAACATTTCTATAATAAGCACTTTTAACAAAGTAGGATTTTTCCCTAAACAATGTGAGAGGCAGGCAGATACAAGGCCCACAAGCTATCCTGGAGATAACCGTGGTCTAATTACTACAGCATGGAATTTAAAATCTAGAGACCCACATGCTAGCTTTGATTCTGCAACAGCTCCTTGTCTTCAATGGCACAGAACCTCTATTTCTTGCAAACTTACTATATGAAAATAAGCAGGCTAATATTTCCACAAACACTTCAAGATCTTAATGTAGCAGATGTTTAGTTCTAGCTTTCCTGGCTTTTACTAATACATTATTCGAGATTTTTTTCTTTCCTAAGACAACAATTTTAGAAAACACTAAAAATTTTGGTTTTAACTTTGAAATCCAGAAGGTAAGTATTAAGAAATCGTGTGCTTAAGACGATATAGTTCTCCCAAGTTTATCCAGAAGTTGCATAAACTTAGTGGAATTAACCTGGATTTAATGAAAGTATGTGCAACT